CATTCAGTGAAAAGGACCTGGGTTCAATCCCCAGTACTATAAAAAATAATTATATGCCATAACAAAGTGGGATTTATTCTACATGTATAAACCTGGTGTTCAACATTTGAAAAATCAATGTAATTCACTTCATCAATAGGCTAAAGAAGAAAAATTATATGATCATTTTAATATATTAAGACAAAGCAGTGTATAAAATTCAATACTCACTCTTGATAAAAAAAATCTCAGTAGGGAATAGAGAAAACTTAAATTTGATAAATAATATCAACAAAAAAATTTACAGATGACATCATTCTTAGCATCAAAAACTAGCTGCTTTCCTCCAAATACTGGGCACAAGTTAATGATGTCCCCTCTCATCACTTCAGTTTAAAACCATACTGAATATCTTACTAATGGAGTAAAACAAGAAAAGGAAATAAAAGATTAGTCCAGGAGACATAGAAGTATATCTGCTTGTAGATGACATGGTTATCTAGAATTAATGAAAAACTTCTGGAACTTACTAGTAATTACAGCAAGGTTTGCAGGATACAAAATTAATACTGTATACAAAAGTCAACTGATTTCATACATACCAGCAATGAGTAAGTGGAATTTGAAATTTAAATACAATACCATTTACACTAGCACCAAAAAGAGAGAAGTCCAAAACTAATTTTAAAAAGTTCAAGATCTATATGAGGAAAATGACAAAACTGATCAAAGAAATCAAAGAAGGAGCTGGGTGTGTGGTTATGTAAGCCTATAACCCCAGAACTCTGGCAGGCTGAGACAGGAGGATCACAACTTCAACCCCAGCCTGGGCAATTTAGTGGGATCCTGTGTCAAAGTAAAAATATTTTAATAAAGAGGTAGGGAGGTAGCTCAATGTGAAGGTCCTGGGTTTAATACCCAGTACTGCAAATAAAACAAAACAACAAAAAAACAGATATCCAAGAAGGTCTAAATAAATGGAGAGATCCATGTTATGGATAGAAAGATTTAAAATTATTAGGATGTTTCATCTTCTTGACTTGATCTATGGATTCAAGACAACCTCAATACACAGTAAATCCAAGCAAGTGAAAATTGACAAACTGATTTTCAAATTTACATAGAAAGTCAAAAGACTCAAGGTAACCAACACAGCATTGAGGAAGAACAAGCTTGGAGGACTGACATCATCCAGCTTCAAGTTTTACTATGAAACTACAGCAATCAGCATGTATTATATTGATAAAAAGCAAAGAGATCAATGGAACAGGCTACAGAGCACAAAATAAATCCAACAAATATAATCAAGTGATCTTTGACAAAGGATCAACTTGGAACAAGTAGACATCTATATGTCAAAAAAAAAATCTACACACAGACCTTACATCTACCAAAAAAATTAATTCAGATGAGTAATTACTTTAATATAAAACACAAGACTAAAAAATAACCAGAAAAAAATTTACATAACTTTGACTTTGGTGATAGCTTTTTAGACACAAAACTTTTAAATACATAAGCATGGTCGGTGAAAGAAAAATATTGATAAAGTTGGACTTCGTTAAAATTAAAAATGTCTGGGGCCGGGGATTTAGCTCAATGGTTCCGTTGCGTGCCTCACAAGTGCAAGGTCCTGAGTTTGATCCCCAGTACCAAAAAAATAAATATGTCTGCTCCGCAAAAGACACTGTTGATGAAACGATAAGCCACAATATGGGATACAAGACCTATAAAACATATACCTAATTAAGGACTTGTACCTCACATACACAAAGAATTCTTAAACCTCAATGATAAGAAAACAATCCAGGGCCAGGGGTTTGGCTCAGTGGTTCCTCTGCCTGCCTTGCTAGCGCACGGTCCTGAGTTCAATCCCCGGTACCAAAAAGAAAACAATCCAAGTAAAAAATGGACAAAAGATCTGAACAGACATCTCACCAAAGAGCATCCAGAGAAGGCAAAAAAGAACATGAGAAGACTTTAACATTATATTCATTAGGGAATTGCAAATTAAAACAACAGGACACTACTACACATCTGTTAAGATGTCTAAAACTCAAAACACAGATAAGCCAACAGCAACTCTCTGTCATTGCTGCTGGAAACGCAAAATGGTAAAGGCACTTTGGAGGACGGCTTGGTAGTTTCTTTAAAAGCTAAACATAGATTTAATATATCATCCAGCAATTGCACTCTTAGGTACTTACCAAATGAGGTAATTAAAAACATGTCCACAAAACCCTTTACATGAATATTTATAGCTGATTTATTTATAATTACAACAATTGGAATAAACCAAAGTGTTCTTTAATAGGTGAACAGATATACACACATACAATGGAATATTATTCAGTGATTTTTTTTCAAAATAAGCTATCAAGGCACAAAAAGTGTGGAGGAAACAATTGCATTATTAAGTGAAATAAGCTAGTCTAAAAAGGTCACATACTGGATTTTTCCAAGCAAATCACATCCTGGAGAAAATGAACAGATCAGTGGTTGCCAGGAGCTCAGGGGGAGGTGGGGAGGATGAACAAGGGGAGCACAGGGGCCTTGGAGAGTGATACATGATATCATGCCTTTGTCAAAGCCCACCAAATTATACAATACAGAGAGTGAAACTTGCTGTGTGCTATGGACTTTGTTATTAACTCTCAATAAGGGTCCATCAATTGTACCTATAATGCCATAGTGCAAGGTGTTAATAACAGGGAGCTGGTTTGTGTGAGTGAGGTGAGGGGTATACAACAGCTCTGCACTTTCTGCACAGCTTTTCTATAAACCAAAACTCCATCAAACTTTTTTAAATGAATAAAATCAACAAGATGCTATTTCCGATTTCAAATTGCCCAAAATTTCAAAAACAGTGTCAGTAAGGACAGAAGGAAAATTCATCAATCAAAAGCTTTAAATTATTATTGACGTACTGATTTAGTAATTTTCTTTCTTGGAAGCAATCCTAAGAAAATAAACACGGATTAAGCAAATGTTGCTTATCACAACAAATGGTATAAAAACCTAGAAGACAAAAATAAAGAATGACATCATATTTATAAAAATAAATCTGTAGGCACATATATTCATAGGAAATTAAACGGATGGCCAACAAAATATTAATAGTGAATGCTTTCATTTTATATTCTCTATCTATTTGTTCTTAAAATAGAAATGAAGGTCACACACATCAGAATGGCTATTATATTTCTAAAAATACAGAAAAAAGCCGGGCATGGAGGTGCACATCTGTAATTCTAGCACTTGGGAGGCTGAGGCAGGAGGATCACTGTGAGTTCGAGGCTAGCCTGGGCTACATAGTGAGTTCAGGGCCAACCTGAGCTACAAAGTGAGACCCTGTCTCAACCCTCCCAAAAAATAAAAATAAAAATACAGAAAATAACAGGTGTCAAGAATGTGGAGAAGTTGGAATGCTTGTACACTGTTGGTGCGCTGTTGGTCACAGCTACTATGGAAGGCAGTATGGCATTTCCTCTAAAAACTAAACACAGTTTTAGCATGTGATCTCTTCTCTTGTGTGTATATATCCCAGAGAAAGCAGAGACTCAGACATTTGTACACCCAGTTCACAGCAGCCGTATTTATAAGGCACAGGGAGAAGCAACTCAGTATCCACAGATAGATGAATGAATAAATAAAATGTGGTATGCTTATAAAATGGAATATTGCTTGGCCTTAACAGAACACACACTGAAGACATCATGCTAAGCCAGTCACAAAGAGATACTGTATGATTCCACTTAGAGTCTAATTTATGGTGACAGAAGGGAGAATGGTGGTTGCCAGGGAAGAGCCGCAGGGACTGTGGAGAATTACTGTTTAACGGGAAGGAAGTTCCAGTTTGGTAAAATGGAAAGAGTCCTGGAGTTGGATGTGGTGATGGCTGCATAACAATATGAATGTACTTAATGCCAATGAATTACAAATGCTTTAAGATGTTAAATTTTGTTATATATATTTCATTAAAATTAAAATACGTGCTTTTTCTTTTGACATAAAATGATTCAATGAAATGCACACATCTTCAGCCCACCCTCACCAAGTTTTGACAGATGCGTGTATCTGTGTAACCCAACCTCTCTTACTATATCCAGTACTGTCACCCCTGGAAGCCCTTTCATGGCTCCTCATATATTCTTTTTTAATAACCACAAAAAGAACTTATAGTATGAGCCTCTTGTTACAGATATACAGGGGTTTTGTTTTTGTTTTTGAGATAGAGTCTCGATTTGTAGTTCAGGTTGGCCTTGAAATATGTAGCCCAGATTGGCCTTAAACTCAGGGTGATTTTCCTGCCTCAGCCTCCTGAGTGCTGGGATCACAAGCATGTGCCGCCACATCTGAATATTACGGAAATATAGAAAAAATAAAAAGACTTCTGGGTTATGATATCACTATTGATCTTAATTTTTTTCTATTTCCTTCTCTGTATTTTATACACTGTATATACTGAGAGGGTAGGAAAAAGCAGTAAAAGCTACTTAAACATCCTTCTTTTAGTAAATAATGTCACATACATGGAATATTTGTAGCCATTAAAGTGACCATTTTGAAGATTATGTAGCAAAATTGGAAACATTTCAATATATTAGATTGTAATGACAAAGTTAAAAGAAGTATTAATACCATAATCACCATGATAACATCATGTAAACACACAGAAGGGGCCTAGAAAAGAGTAAGAAAAACAAAGGTGTCCATATTTCTTATTCTGCTTGGATGATGGAATTATGAGTAATTATGGGTAATTTTTGCAAAAGAAAAAAACCATCCAAAACAAAAACTCTTATCATTTTTTTCTAAATTAAAAGCCCATGAGACTCTGACTTCAAGACCAACCATCTCCTACATCCTCAGGCCAGCTCTGAAGAAATGAACCCACCCAGAAAACTACAGAATCTTCTTAGCTTTAATAAAGGGCTCACATGGTTCATGTTGTTTGGTTGGGCTTGGGACATAGAATTCAAACCATTACAACAGGACACAACAAATAAGTACTAAATTACCTCTCTCTGGAAATATGTTGTTTTTGGTGAGTTTCACACTTTTGGGCCTGGGGTGGTTATCATCCATGCCCATGATCAGGTTGCGGAAAAACAAATCAAATTTCTTTCTGCTGTCTGCATTGATGGTGCCGGCGACAGTCCACACCAAGGAGAAGAGGAATAGTCCTTGGAGCCAGAGGAAGATCTGCTGATTTGACAGGCCTTCAAGTGATTCATTCTCCTCATCTCCTGTGGCCCTAATTTCATCTAAAAGTGAATAAAAACAGAAGGTCAGGATGAAAAGCACAGTGCTATGGATGTAAAAGATGTGAACTCACTGGTATTGCCTATGAAGGACCTGGGCAGTTGACTAATACTGGCTGAATGCCTATCACATACCAGACCCTTTATCATATACATTTTAATTATGTTACAGTAAATGCAACATAAAATTTTCTATCTTTACTATTTTCAATGCACATGTCAGTGGGGTCAAGTACATTTATATTCTGTAACCACCACCACCATTCATATCCAGAACTCTTCATCTTGCAGAACTAAAATTCTGTATTCATTAAGCAACTTGCCCTCTATCTTCCTTCCATCTCTCATATAACCAGAATTCTACTTTCTCTTTATATAAGTTTGACTACTCTATGGGGATCATAGAAGTAGAATCATACAGTCATTTTGAAATTGGCTTATTTCACTATTCATAATGTTTTCAAGATTCATCCGTGTTGAACCATGCATCAGAATTTCCTTCCTTTTATAGACTGAATTATATTCCATTGTGACCGCATTTTATCCATTCATTTGCTGATGGACATTTGGGCTATTTCCATATTTTGGGCTATTATAAATAAAGCTGCAGGGCTGGGGATTTAGCTGAGTGGTTCCAGAGCCTGCCTTGCAAGTGCAAGGTCCCAAGTTCGATCTCCGGTACCAAAAAAAAAAAAAAAAAAAAGATCTACAAATAAAGCTGCTGTGAGCATGAGTGTTTGGAAGTATACCCAGAAGTGAAAATCTGGATCGTATGATAAGTCTATGTTTACTTCTTTGAGAAACCACCAAACTGTTTTCCATAGTGGGTACACCATGTCAAATTCCCACCAGTGGTGTATAATGGTTCCAATTCTCTACATCCTCACCAATTTTCTGGTTTTGGTTGTAGCCATCCTACTAGGTATGAGGTAGTAGCAATATCATTGATTTGCATTTTTCTAATCATTATTGATGTTGATCCTTTTTATGTTCTGACACATGGTACAACATGAATGAAATTTTTTCATATGCTTATTGCCTATATGTTTATCTTCTTTGAGAAAATGTCTATTTGAGTCTTTTATTTTTGTATTTTTTTGTGTTGAATTTTAGTAGTTCCCTCTCTATTCTAGACATTAATCCTTTTTCAGATATATAATTTGCAAACATTTTCTTCTGTGTGGGTTGCCTTTTTTACTCTGTTGATAGTGCCTTTTAATGCATACAAAGTTTTAAATTTTCATGAAATCTAGTTTGTCAATTTTTTCTTTCGTTGCCTGTACCTTTCATGTCAAAGCCAAGAAACCATTGTCAAATTCAATTTCGTGAGCTTTTGCCTTATGTTTTCTTCTGAAAGTTTTATACTTTTAACATTTATGTTTAGATCTTTCATTCATTTTGAGTTAATTTTGTGCACGATATTAAGTACAGGTCCAGGTTCATTCTTTTGCATGTGGATAGTTTTCCAGGCATTAATTTGTTGGAAATATTATTTTTTCCCCATTGAGTGGTCTTGGCACAAACAGGATGAAAATAATTTGGTGAATATAAGATCAAAATAATTTTACCATATATGGGAGATTTATTTCTGTGTTTTCTATTCTGTTCCACTGGGTATATGCCTGTCTTTATACCAGTACCACACTGATTTGATTACTATGGCTTTGTAATAAGTTTTTTTGTTTGTTTGTTTGTTTTTGGTACCAGAGATCAAACTCAGGACCTTGCGCTTGCGAGGCAGGCGCTGGAACCACTGAGCTAAATCCCCAGCCCTGTAATAAGTTTTATAGTGAGGAAGTATGAGTTTTCCAGTTTTGTTCTTTTTCAAGATTATTTTAGCTCTTCAGAGGCCCTTGAAATTCCATATGAATTTCAGGATGAATTTTTCTGTTTCTGCAACAAATGCTGTTGGGATTTTAGAGACTACATTGAATTGGTTGATGACTTTTGAGTGGTGGCATTGACATCTTAACAATATTGTTTTCCAATGCATAAACATTTTGCCTCAATCCATCTGTTTATTTGTTTTATAATTTTTAGCACTGTTTTGCAGTTTTCACTATAAAAGTCTTTCACTTTCTTAATGATGTTAATCCCTATAAATTGCATTCTATATTATGCTATTGTAAATTGCATTATTTTCTTAATTTTCTTAAGTCACTTCATCCAAGGTGGTGGGGCTTGCAGTAAGAGCCAGCTGTCAGAACACAGATCCTTGATATTTGGAAGATGAGGTCCTTATCGTCTACCCTGGCTCCTACAACCTATGTGCAAGCTACCCTTGGAACATGTGCCCAGCTCCTGCCACAGCATGGAAGGGCTGGAGAAGGGTGACTGATACAATGCTAAAAGCTGAAACTAATCAAAATTAGCTGAAATTTACTACCCAAACCTTCCCCTGGAAGTTGTAAGCCTTAGAATAGTCTCTAGAATTCCAAAAGAGTTACACCAGACAGATTCTGCCAATTCAGTTGTGTAGATGGGAAACTGATTTGTGGCGCCTCCTGTTCCATAGTCTTCATGGAATATTCTTTACCCATTTACATCTTAATTTAACTTACATAACAAATTTATGAAAGAGGAAATATTCATATTATATGCATGAATAAATTAAGGCTCAGAAAGGCCACAGGTTATACAACTTAGACATAATAAAGCTAAGAGCTGAATCAAAACCTGGCTCACTCCAAAGCCCACACTCTACCATTTTACCAGTGCTCTGCAAACTTTAATGTACACACAGATCACCTGGTGATTTGTAAGATTGTGGACTCTGAATCAGTTGGTCCAAGATTCTCCTTTTCTAATGAGTTCCCAGGTGATGCAATCTTTCTTGTCATTGCTACTTGAAGAATCAAGTCATACAGTACACTTCCCTCTTTCAGGTAAAAGAGGCCAAAGGAAATAACCTAAGAATTAGATAGCTAATCTTCCCAATGCTCTCCTCTCCCTTTTAGCATCACTCTTCCTACTTTTCTCTTCAGATATGTTTGCCTATACTCCATGTTGCTCGTGGTTACCCAGGAGTCCACTGTATTTTATTACCTGAGGCTTCCAGCCATAGTGAGTCCCTACAGCCTTTCCACTTCTCCTTCCAGCAGCAATATAAGATTTGATGTTCTTCTTTCATAACAATGAGCACCTCTAGTGCACATATGTTGGTTGCTAAATACTATTCTTCAGTATAAAGAACCAGGACTCCTTAGAGAAATGGTTGGTTACAGAGTGAACCAAGGGAAACACAGGATGGACGTGGAATATCTTGTGGTGTCAGAAAATAAGGACACGTTTGAAAAAGGATGAGAAAAAGGTTGTTGAAAGGACACAGAAGCTCACTTGAAGGACCTCCCAGTGGCTACAGCTATTTGAACAACAAAATAAATAATTATAGCCTTGTATTATAACTCTTATAATGAAATAAATATAAGTACATATTTTGATAAACAAATAATTTAGTAAGTAACAATTAGGAAAGAAGAGCACTTCTTTCTAGAAGAATTCTAATTAGTAATACAGAAGGATTAGAAGCAGAAAATTATCATTAGGTAAATACCATAACAATTGTTATAGGAAAGATACACCAATGGATACTAAAATCAGTTGGTCTAAGTTTGAGGAGAAATAGGATATTTGCATAATTTGCAAATATCTTCTCCAAGACATTTAATGGAAAGAAAAAATAGTCAACATGATGAAGGAGAAATGTGGCTCTGACCAAATTTAAGTTGGATCAGATCCTTCACTAGTAATAAGATATATTCGTCACCACTTCCTTGGTATTCTTAATAGAAATGCATAACCTAAATCATGTATGAGAAAACATGAGTTAAACCTAAATTGAGAAGCATTCTATAAAGTAACTGGCCAGTACTCATCAAGTTGCCGTTATAAAAGACAAGGCAAGACTGAGGAACTGCCATAAATGGAGGCAACTATGGAGATACAACAGTTAAATGCAATACAGCATTTTGAATTGGATCCTGAAATACAAAAAGGACATTTGTGGAAAAACTGGTGATACGCAAGCAAAGCCTAGAGTTTCTTTAATAGTATAATACCAGTGTTAATGTCTTTGTTCTGATAATTGTACCTTGGTTACATAAGATGTTGAAGCTAGGTGAAGGGTGTGTGTACTCTTTTCTCAACATCTAAAATTATTTCAAAATAAAGGGCTAAAAAATACACTTAGTGTTCTTTATCTTAAAGCCTTGTTAATCACAGCTACCATGTTATTTCATTTTAATACTGACAGAATATAAAGTTAGAGCTCTGATAACAGCTCCAAATGCATTTAAACAGTTCCCAGCTTTCAGCAGTTGTGTGCATTTGAGTATTTCTGAGCAGTTTCATAGCTACAGATGTGGGAAGGCAAGAGATGAGATCACTCAGGGCTGGAAATAATGCATCTATTTCCCATGCTGGTGTCTTTCTTCCTAGGAGACAGAAGATGAGCTTACAAATAAAAATGCAAATGAGGCATTGTTTGTATAACTGGTGTGCTTCTGAAGAAAATGCCTCAAAATGTATAATTTGAAAATTAAATAATATGTAGAAATTCTCCACTTAACTGTTTGCCAAGTTACATTTTTTATCTATAACTACAATGCTTTTGAAAGAAATGAGCTGAGAAAGTATGTACAGTACATGTAACAGGAGTCATAAAGAAGATTCACCTGGAGTTATAGTTATTTGCCAGCTTGAAAAACTGGCATCCAACAAAAGTTCTCCAAATGGACACATATTTTGCCATTTGCAGTGAAATTTGATTTATGTGAAATAGTTAAAGTGATTTATTATTCTATTTATGATTGGGAAGTAAATGAATCACAGAACCATTATTTTAAATGTCCTGACGAAGTTCACTAGTTTTGCAGACTAATATAATTAGCTCTCACAGTGTATCTATGTGTTTTGTGAATTCAGATTTTTGCAACATAAATTTTCTTAACATAGGAAAATTTCCATGGAGCTCCAGTGGCACAATCAGTTAGTGCACAGTAGTTATAAGACGTGGAAAAATTTCTTGTATAATTTTTACAATATTTTTTTCTGAGATACTTTCATATGTATCATCTAAATTCATCTTCCTCAAGGATATCCCTGTGAGGTAAAGTGGGACAGGACCTAGTACTCCTATTGTGTGGATGAGGAAGCTTAGGCTGAGGAAGGATGGGACAGCTTGCATAAGAACACCAAAAAGAATTCAATGTCAAATCAAGACAATATGGATAAATTCTTTCCATTAAACACCATTATCTACAACTCAAAGGATTGCTTGTTCTTGGCCAAATACTGTAGTTTGTCCCATTATAACTCAAGGGAGATAAACACAGGTTGAGAGCAGAAGAACCAAGCCACAGCCAACCCCCTTGTGGCTTAAGAATCTTGGGTGTCACTTACCAAGCAGAGAGGAGTACAGTCTCATCATTGAGAAGGCAAGGTGGATGGGGGATGACTGGACCACAAATTTACACTGAAGGCAAATAAATTCCAGGCAGGGCTGGACAAGCCACATGAACATGTCATTCACCTGAGAACAGAAAGCTACATGAGATTTGCAGACATTATCTAAAAGGGAGCTGAAGACTAAGAGCTTGGGGCCCCCTCAGTAGGCTGGAGACGCTGGCAGAAGGATGATGTCTTTTGAGTGCAGGTGCACTGAGGAAAACTCACAATCACCCAGAACCCTGCCCCAGCCTCCTCCATAACAGCCTTAGACTGCTCAGCTCACAGGCCATGTTAACTCAAGTTTCCCACCCCCTTCCCACTGCCCAGAGCTGGATACTCAGAGAGGCCTGGAAATTGTCTGGGTACAGGATGTATGAAATAGGCTTAGGAGCCAGCCACTGTATCTGACTCTGTTTCTATAAAAAAAAGTAATAATTCCAAGCAACTGATTTATAAATGGCTGTTAGGGTTTGTAAGGTGAGACCCCTGTATAAAATGGCCATAGGAAGTGCAGAGCTAAGTTTGGCTTATTTTCAGTAATTCACCATATGCATGATATATACATATATGCTTATTTGGGTGCATGAGTCTCATCTCTGCTTCTCACCTCATTTCATTTCTTAAAATTACTTGACAAACTTTTCTACTTTTATTTTATTGGCTTTTTAAAAACTTTTGTTCTATTTTATGACTTTCACTCTATATTATATTTAGGTTGATGGAGAAGGTAAAAGAGGAAGGAGAAACTGACTGCACCACCCTATCCCAACCACACGAAGAAGAAAGCTGGAAAAATGGCAGGCAGCCAGAAAACAAGATAACTGGGGACGGGCAGGGAATTCTCTGGCCCTTCTTGCTTCCTGGAATTATGAAGGTGAAGATAGGCCTAGAAGGCCTTTGAGATGAGTAGGGAAATGGGGATGGAAGGAGAAGGGCTCAGGTCTCACCAATTCCATGTGCTCCTCAGTAAGGCTGGAGGGGAGGGTGTCCATGTATGAATCTTTCAAGGGCTTCCAGCCTAGCTGATGGGGCTCCATGTAGATCATCCCACATCTGGGAAGTACAAACAGAATTGGTTTCAGTGCTCTTTTATTTGTTGCTAATACTAGGTGCCATTTACCCTATGTCATACACTCTTTAGGCCTTACTGGACCTTGACCGTAACTTTCATCTTCCATACGATGTCCCTTATCCTATTCCTCTGGGTTTCCTCCTGTGAGGTAATATAGCATCTTGAATCTTGATTTCTTTCCTTCTTCTACAGTTTTATATCATTCTATATGTTCCTAAAATATATCTACATTTTAATTCTGGTTATCTTCAACAACTTAAAAGGAGGTAGGTAACATTTTGGGCTTACTTTTACACATAAAGATCTAATCCTTAATATATTTACTAAGATTTATCCATATAGCTGTATGTGAGTGCAGCTCATTTGTTTTGCATAGAGTATAACTATTATAAAATTCGACTACATTACACTTTATTAATCCACACCTGTTTAACAGGTATTTAGGCTATTCCTAACTGTTACTGTGAGTCATGCCTCTATGAATATTCTTTAAAGGTCTCCTATTGTTCATAGATAAAAGTCCTTTGGACATATACCAAGGAGCTGAATTGCTGGGTCACGAACAAATAAAAGCTCAATTTTAGGAGCTAATGTCAAATTCTTGCTTGATTTTAGACACTCACGAGTACTGTGGGCTGAGGACTGATTTTATGATAAGTCTCAGTGAACAACAAGCATTGTGGGTGATTTGCTGGGCCTTAATCATATTCGTAGTTTAGAGCTTTCCCTCCTGCTCAGCTTAGTGGGGCCACACCTTGCCTCAAGGGACCAGCACAGGCTGACTTACCGGCTCACAGTGGCAGGGGATGCCTGCTCCAGGTCGGCTGGCTCAAAGATCAGACTCATCTTGGGACTCATCTGGATAATTTCTCCACTCATTAAACACAGCTGCAAGTGCAAAGGGGTAGGGTGTGCACAGAGGTTAAATTCCACCTGCAAGTGAAAGATCTTAGTGAAGACAAAACTGGTTTGAATGAATTCCACAAATATTTCTTGAGCACCTACTATGTGCCAGGCACTGTTCAAGGTACACAGGATAAAACAGACAAAAATCCCTGTCCTCTTGGGGTTTATATTCTGCTGGAGGAGACAGATGATAAACCAAATATATAGTACATAAAATAATGAAAATTGCCCTAGAGAAAAAGTAAAGTAGAAGAGGGGCCGGAGAATGCTGCTGTTGTTGAGTGAGTTGTAATTTTAGGTAAGGAATGGAAATGACTGAATTCAATTTTAGATGAAGAACTGAGAAATTATCATCACTGTATGAAGTTTTTTGGTCCCTTCCTCTGTGTTTAACATAGAACCTAACTGCCATCCTCATCCTGTTTTATTTGCTCAAGTTTCTCACAAAAGACTCCTTTTTATGAGATGATGAGCATATTTTTCTTTTTGTTTTAAAGTATGTGTTGACCTGTGGTATTATAACATGTTTCTAAGCAGAGGAAATTAGTAATTTCTATAAGTATGTGAGGTGCTGGATATGTTAATTAGCTTGACTGTAGTCATCATTTCATAATGTGTACGTGTCTCAAAACACGATATTGTGCACCTTAAATACATATACTATTTGTAAACTATACTCAGAGAGAGAGAAAGAGAGAGAAAGGAGTCTCCCTATTGAAACCCCACATGGGCAAATCCATTTTTGGAGTAACAGGAATCTCTCCATAAATCCCTTCAAGGATGGAATGAAAGACCACTGCCACTGGAAGTCCTGGTGTTTGTCAGGCACATCTCTGTAGAAACAGCTCCAACCCTTAGGCGAGCCTTGGAATATCTACTTAGGGTGCCACTTGTCTTTGCCAACATGGATGCAAGACCAAGAATGTCACATCGTAAAACATGAAAATTCTCACTCTCAGACAGGGATGCTTCAGAAGAGAGGGTGCTGTGTAAAGAACTTAGACTCTTCCTCGAGTCTTCATTTTTCTTTGAGCGTTCTTTCAGTTTGGCTCTCAGTTTGGATACACAGAAAGCATAACAGCCACAATCATGAGCATGAGAGCAGAAAGACTGGGTTTGAATCTACCTGTCTGCCATGTAGTGGTTTTAGAGTTATGTGCTCTCAGTGCCTCAATTTCCTCATCTATAAAACGGGTATGACAATACTTACCTTATAGGATGGACTGCTTATAAATTAATGGGATAATGGATGGGAATTATTTTTAGCAAGTGCTCTATAAATGAAAGTAGATGTTATCACTAGTTTCTTGCTGACCCTGCTGCTTCTCTTTTTTAAAATATAAATTTGTATAAAATCCATTTCTTTGTTTTCATTCAGCATAACTGACACCAGCTAGATTTTCATAAATAACTTAACTTAGTATTAATAGGGAATATAAGGGAATAATTATTTTAAGTATAAAAACACTGAATATTGTAAACATATACCAAGAAGAAACAAAAGTTGTATTTCTAAATGTAAATAGAATATTCCTAGTAAAGGTAAGTATGTCTCAGGAAAAAAACCACTGAAACAAGTTTACATTAAAAGTCCAGACAGATTCAGTTCCCTGCTCCTGGGTCCCTGCTACCTTCCCCATACCTGTGGCCCTACAAACCAAGGGGCTGTTTCTCTTAACTCTCTGCTAATCACTCATTTCAATAAAACTGTTTATACCCCACCCAGGAAAAAGCTATGGACTCGTAGCTACCTTTTTATTATCATCCAGAATAGTATTCATATTTTCAATCCAAACAGCATCTACTGGTCCATCAAATATAATCCACTTGCGGTCATCAGATGTTGAAGATGCTTGCTCCCGGAAAGCATTGGCTAGGACACCATCTGTCCACTCGTGGCTCACTGGGTCAAAGCACCCATACAGCTGCCCCATTGTGATAGCCTTGGGATTGATGATCTTGTACTCCACGGCAAACTCCTCCATCTGGTTGGCTGGGTGAGAAGATCCAACACCATTTATAAAGGCTCTGGTGAGACCCAAATGTTAGACAAGAGACACTGCCATTCCCAAGACTAACTAGCAATTACCAATATGTGATCCAAGGAGAGTCTTTATAAAATATGCGCTCGGTCTTATAAACACTGGGATATCTAGGTAGGTTATATCTTAAATTGTTGGGGTACTTATAGTCATTAGTTTTGCACTTTACTTTCTTCTGACTCTGATTTCTAACAGGGCAAATGTGCTAGTTAGATCCAGTACTAAAGAAATATGACTGGACCTAAAAGAACTCAAGCATTACAGAAGATAGATGTCAAACTGGGGGTGTAGCTCAGTGGTAGAGCACTAGCCTCATGTGTATGAGGCCCTGGGTTTGGTCCTCACTACCACACATGGACACGTACACACATACACCAGAAGGAAAGAAGATAGATACTTTTATCAGCCCCCTTTATTTAGCTGGCTGTCATAGCCACTGTAAGAACCTTAGCTTTGGCTTGGGATAATGAAACAGCTGATAGGTAAAAAGATTCTGGAAAATGATGGCTATTTTCTCTATTTGAAGGTCTAGTTTAGCCTTTGAAATCCTTTTCTTTTTTTTCCCCATTAAATTTATTGGTACATTTTAGGTATACATCATAATGACATTCATCATTGGAAATTTGAACCTTTACATAATCTCTCTTGGTTCTTATTTTTCCCCCATTTCCCTGCCCTCCCTTCAACCCCTCCATCCCTCCCTATTTACAAAGACTTTGTTTCCATTTTTCATTTTCTCACATTAATTCCATTGAAATTCTTTTCTTAACTGCTTGGTAAGTGTCATTTGTCCCTTGAGAAGCACATATTTGGGCTGATGGATAGCACAGAACCATGTTTAATAACAGAAAATAACAACACTTTTATATAATTCTTCAGAATTAGAGAAGGTTGGAGTACATGAGCCATGCACTAAATAAAGAATGACTGCTTCAGAATTCTGAGGCAAAGACAATGATTTAGACTTTTTCTTCATTTAATTTCTTGAAGAGAATTCCAATGCCAAAATTATTTTATACTTCAAATTTAAATGCCCAAATTAGCTATTAAGGTTGTTAGACCCCCAAAACAAAATCTCAAACATTCAAGGGCAATTTAATAATCAAATGTCATTAGAAAACAATTTTAATTAAAGTACTTGAAATGATTATGTAAACACATATATAGTGTGGGATTGTTTTTCAAAACTACAGGTTTGCATATTATTTTGGGATAAACAGGCAAATAAGAAATCCCAGCCTGACATGGTAGTGAACGTCTGTGATCCCAGCACTCAGGAGGCTGCCTCGAGTTCGAGTCCAGCCTGGGCTACGTTGTGAGTTCGGGGCCAGCCTGAACTACAAAGGGAGACCCTGCCTCAACAAACAAATAAACAATCCCCAAACTGTTTCTTTGGCAATAATCCATTTGTTGGGAATGTACCGTGCTAGGTTATCTCATAATGTCATTTAATTCTCACAACAATCCCAATTTACAACTGGGAAAACAAAGGATAAGAGAGGTCTAGTTATTCATCCAAGTTTGAGTCTGATTCAAAAGTATGAGTTCTTCCTCAACCTTAAAAGAAAAGGAGGAAAGGAAACAGGGATAGAGGGAAAGGGAGAAAAAAGGAAAGGGAAGAAAAGAAAAATGAAGAGTGAGTGGAAAAAAGAAGGGAAATGGAAGGGAAAGAAAAGGAAGGGAAGAAAAAAAAGGAAAGGAACCATGCCATGGTTTGCTTTTGGACCAATTTTATCCACTGAAGGAGTTTCTTTCTTACTGGGGAACTGTTGTAGGAACCACTGTTGAGGATCGAGAAATTTTTCCAACCTTAATGACATGCACATAAGTCCCTTGTTAGAAACACCCTTTATTGTCTGCCTGCAGACATCTGTGCCATGTTCTATTTCTAGTTCTGACGTCATGATCCAGGGCTGGCAAAACTCACAGTCTGGCATTACCTCCATGGAGCCAGCTGACTGAGTGGGGAGTCCTTTCCTCCCTAGAAGCCAGGGATGTGAACTTTACCTTCATGTAAATCACCCAGAGCTGCAGCCAACACTTTATAAGCCGATGTCTTGCCTCCCATGGGGTCTCCAACAATCATGTAGCCATGTCTCACCAGCATCATCTCATAAATCTGGGAGGAGACATCACAGAAGTTAATCACTGCAAACCTCTCCACCCTGCAAGTCAGAAGTCAATGAGGGATGAGGCTTTGAAATGCAACTTTCACAGACACTTCTAACTTTGGTGAACTTTAGTCCTTTAGTGATCTATTTTTAAAATATCTCCTGGATAAATAAATATACATGTGTCTCAGATTATTTAAGGGAAAGAAGATGCTATTTTTTCTTCACCTATCTATGCGCTAAGTATCAAGTTCTTGTCCAAATCATTCATTTAATCTGCTAGGTATCATTAATCATCTTCCATAGATGAGAACACTGAACATAAGAGAGGTTAAGAGCTTATTCAAGCTTCTCGGTGATGGTGCTAGGATTTTAACATGAGGCTTTCTGACATCAGTGTTTCTAGTCTTTTCATTACACCATTGCCATTTTCTTTAAAATTTTAATTGACACATAATATTTGCACATATTTATGGAGTATGATATGATACTCAATACACACAATGTGTAATGATCCAATCAGGGTAATTATAATTAGTATTTCCATATCCTCAATCATTTATCATTTCTATGATCTCTCTAGAATTAGAGAGTAGAATGGTGATAACTAGAGGTTAGAAAAGGCAGAAGAAAAGGTGGATAGAGATTAGATTACTGGTACAAAAAACAAGAATTATTTCTGGTGTTCTACAGCATAGTACGGCAACTATGACCCACAACAACTTATTATAATGCCATTTACTTTTTAAAAGGAAGTGATCATTTTATGGTCTTTCTTTTTTTTTTTTTCAGATAGATTCTCACTCTGGAGCGCAGGCTAGTCTCGAACTCAAAGCAATCCTCCTGTTTCAGCCTCCTGAGTGCTGGGATTACAGGCGTGTGTCACTGCGCCTGGTTTGGAAGTGATCATTTTGGCAACTGCATTTTTATTGGAAACTTCCAATCTAGAAGCCTAAAATTGCTGGTCTGACTTGATTGGAATTCCCAATAGATGAAAATGCATTTTCTAAACCAAGCTCTATGATGAACGTTATTACCAATAGTCCATGTAATTTTAGTCCCTACCCTTGAGAATCTAATCACATGGAAGCCCATTTCATGAATTTTCTAATTATTCCTTTTTGTCTCTGATAAGTAACCTATATAATAATTGAATAAATGCTTTGGTCATTTGTATTTATGTGAAAATTTGTGCCCTACCTTTAAATTGTGAGTCTTTCAGAGAAATAAATCTTTTAAAGACCAAGTTCTTATTTTTTTTCACCTTGGATGTGAACAATAAAGAAGGTCTAAATGAAAGTAGTGACAGTGGGGGTAGGAGAGAAAGGGACATATGTCATTCAGCAAATATGTTAAGCATCTACTATGTGCCAGACACTGTTCTGGGTGCTGCAGACAGAGCACAGAAAGAACAACAAATCCCCAACCATTAAGGTTTGAAAGATGTTTCAGATTGAATAGAGGTGAATAGAGTCGACTCTGTATCAGAAATGAGAGGCAGGCAGCGATGGTTCAATAGCCTCTCAGCTTCCCCCTTTCACACTCTGAAATGGACTGTCAAAACATTAGTATACAAAAGGACAGGTAGTTCCAGGTATCTTGTTTTTAAAAACATTAGCTTGTTTTTGAAAACTGGAACTAACCTATATAAAAGTTTATCTGTAGGTCTGCAAATGACTGTAAAAAACATGAAAAAGTAAGGTAGATACATGGATGGATGGATGGACATACAGTTGAATGGATGGGTGAATAGATGGATGAATAGGTGGATGGATGGACAAGTAAGTGATAAAGTAAATATTATAAAATGTTAATTGTAAAGTCTAGGTGGTAAGTACATAGATATACTCTTTAATTTGTTCAATTTTTCTGCATGTTTAAAATATTCCATAACAAAATATTGGAAATAAAATCTCATGCTTAGTTAAAGGGTAGTCAGTCTATAACATTCAGCAAATAAACTGAGATTCAACATTAAGTTAAATGAAGTATATAAAAAACTAGCTCACTTGGAGATGGATGGAGATATATATATATATCTCCACAAGGATCAGACTCCACAAGGCAGTCGGATCTCAGAATCTGGGGACCTAGGTCCAACCTTGACCTTTATTCCAACTAACAGGGTGACTCTGTGAAATAACAACGCTGATGATGCTGCTGATGGTTAAGAAGATGGGAGGGACAATAACGCTATAGTATCAAGGACTGCACCCAGCACTTTCCATACCTATTCTCCTAAAATTGTGGGGAAGATTTTACTCCCTCCATTTTACAGAGGAGATGCAGAGATGATAAAGCAATTTACCCCAAATCTCAGAGCAAAAAACTCATGGGAGTGAGATTAGAACCTAGATCTGTATAAAACCCCTATCTTTTTCCTCTCTGGACCCAAGTGTCCTTTTAAAGGCTCGACCGGATGGGTTGCCTGGCCTGTGATTCTGTAAGTAAAGTACTGTACACTTGGGGCTTATTTAATTCAATACATCATTGTAAGTTAGTTTTACACAGAAAGCAATCCTAGGGAGGGAATTCTGAGATTAACATGAAGCTTCATGGAGTTTCTCCAGGATCAGGATGATAGAGATATTTGTGATTTCCCTGCCCGATATCCCTTCTGCTGTCCCTTGATAACAGCACCCTGATTTTCCCTGAAAGGGAAAGCAGCTGTGGGATGGGGCTGACTTGGCTCAGGGTGACTCCATCTCTACTTGGTTATGACCCAGGTCTTCTCTCTGTAATTGGCTCAGAGATGGTCACGTGACTTTACCAGACCTGTTCAAAGCTAACTCTGACACTTTTGCTGGAGCCACCTTGAAGGGGATGTTCCTTTTCTTCTTCTGGGCTTGCACCTGAGACACTATAAGCCTGAGGCCACCGGAGGAAGGAATGGGTACCCAAGAATGAAGTTTTAATACAGAGGGAAACAGCACTCAAATGATGACAGGTAGATTCCCGATGATATTACCAAAAAAACTTGGAGTCTGCTATGCCTGAGACCAACAATATACTCCTGCACTTTCTAAATTAGGTGAGTACATAATTTTTTGTTGTTGATTAAGACGATTTGAGTTGGATTTCTATCACCTGGAATACAGAAAGTCCTGACTGACTCAAAGTTCAATACCCCCAGAGGCTTTTCTTCATTCTCAAATTTAAAAAGAAACCTTAAGGAAGACGGCTGTAGAAACAATGTTGGATTTTAAATTTCAATTCCCAGGAACAAAACTGAAGGCACAACAGATTGTTAAGTGGTCCTTTAGTTTCATCTCTATTCAGGTGCCTCTGAGTGCTGTCAGTCCAGTCCCATTTTCCCTAGGTCTTCCTAGTTCCTGACTCCAGCAGACAGTAGAAGAGGCACATTCCCATATGGATACAAGGAACCAACCTGGATAATTTTCCTGATAAACCAAGGTACTGCCTGGAGTTTCATCTTTTTGATGTTATCATTCAGTGCTTCCAGAAAAACTTCATAGTCTGGCTTTGGAAGAACAACCCCAGGAAACAAATCTGATATAATTCCCTGTTAACAAGAATTAGAGAAATACAGGATGAAGTATCAGATATGTAATCTCAATATTTTCCTAAAATGAGATCTCTAGACAGCAGAAATGTTTGAAAACCCCCAAAGTTCATTGCCTGCATCGAAACTCATCTAAAATTGTAAGTCACCACTGTCTGTTAATCTTACTTTCCCTCCCAAATAATTATATGTAAATATATATATATATATTTTGGTACTGGGGATCAAACTCAGGACCTTGCGCTTACGAGGCAGGTGCTGGAACCACTGAGCTAAATCCCTGGCCCTCCTCCCAAATAATTTTAAAAATCAGCAAATATTTAATAAATCCATAGTAGTATCTTCTAGTCACTGTAATAAGGATGAATAAGATAGTCATGGTTTCTGCCTTCACAGAGCTCACAGCTGGTAAGGAAGGTAGGCATTAAATCAATTAGGGAAACTAATTATGTTGGATAAAAAAACACCCATCCAAACTCAGCAGGAAATACTATCCTATTAGTTAAACCATTTTTGAAATTAAAATTGGGAACCAGACATGGGTGTTTGTTATTACCATTATCATTTAACATCTGGAAGGACAGAATGAGGCCACAGAGATGGTGGCTGGAATGAGAGAAGATAGGGTGCCAAAAGGTAGAAGATACACAGGTAGCGCCAAAGAAAACCTTTCCTCTTCAGCAGCTGAGCCTACATCCTTGACCGAGATCTCAAACCACTTCATACCTCAAACAGAGGAACATCTTGAGCTAAGAACTTGGCCAAGTTGACATCAAGCAAGGCCCGTAGCAGCAAGACGCTCTCATTCTCCTGGGGGTACTTGAGCTTCAGGTTGCCGGCAGCTGTGAGCACAGACTTGACAGCCCGCATACCGTAGTCATAGTGATGCTGGGAGGAGAGCTGCTCAGAGCACAGGCGATACGTAGCCACAATCTTCTGGGCGAGACTGGGAGGGCAAAAACATGTCTACAGATCCTTGTCCCTGTGCCTTCAGAAACCAGGCTTACCCACAGACTTGATGGACAGGCCCTATCATTTGAGTCTTTTAATAGAATTACCATAATAAACTAAGGAAACATAACTGTCTTTCAAAGTTGGATTAAAAAGTGCACATATATACATACCAGGTAGCGTGCATAAAGTAACACTATATACTCTCATGTATATATGAATGGATGTGCACATAAGTGCATACACATGCATTGGGGAGAATCTATCACAGTATTAACAATGTTAATCCCTAGAGAGTGGGACTAAGGGTTACTGAAGGAAAACTCACTTTTTCTACCTCTGTAACATTACAATTTTGTTCAATGTCTGTTTTACTTTTTAAAGAAAACCAATTCAAAATGTAACATACTCAGCACATAACATACATATACTTATGTGCGTGGCCATTTCTTATTCTTCAGGACACATGGCTGACCCACACTTTCAAGCCTCACATACAGTTCGGACAGGCCACACTACTGCCTTCTATATGGTGGAATGTGAGTAAGAGTGACATGTGCCATTAAAAGCTCCTCCATGAGATTCTCCATGCCCGGTGTTGCAGCTGTGACATGTAAGTGTCCTGGGTCCCGGAACCATACTTTGCTGTAGAACCACTTCTAATCATAAACATCTATTTTGGGTTTACAGTGAGTGAAAAATAAACTCTTGTCATGCCAACCCACTGGGATGTGGGGATCAGGGTTACTCTAAATAATGTATTAATATATATATTTCTGTTAGGGAGATCCTTTTATAAAACTGATTGACTTTATTTTTTTTTTATTTTATTTTTGGTACCAGGGATTGAACTTGGGTCCTTACACTTGCTCAGCAGGCGGCAAAACCACTGAGCTAAATCCCTGGCCCTAAACCTGATTGACTTTAAAAACAAAGACTGTGTTGTTCACCAGAACCAAAAATAGGGCTAAGCTCTATAGAGCTGTCTGAGTAAAGGTTTGAAAATTAACTAGATAAAAGAATTGAATGGATAAACCAATGTAATATAGGCCTACCAAAGAAATAATAAACTAAAGCTCATCTGATGGCCTAGGAAGGGTAATACATTCTACTGAGAATTTCTGTACCCCCTTGGATTACAAATCAGGGCATCCATTTACTCACTTGTGGAGACATCTGTTGTGACCCACCCCCAAGGTTGATTATGGCAAAGACAACATAAAAGTGTGTAAAATTTGGAATAGATCCATAAAAGCCATTTTCAATGATTAGTCATAACTCACGGTGGATGTGTTAGGTATGCACATATACACAACAAAGATTGTGTGTGTGTGTGTGTGTGTGTGTGTGTATGTGTATTGAGAAACTGGGTAGTACTCAAATGAGAAATAACCCAGTTGATTAGAGTCAGTAAATGTTATATTGAGAACAATTTAATTAAGCTGATAAATTAATTAGATAAAACTTTTTTTCTTTTTAACTTTGAAAGAATTTCATTTTTATAGTCTTTCCTTAAGCCATTTAGTAATGAGGGTGCGGATGTCTTACAGTGAGGGGTAGGGAGGATATGAGTGGTGACTTTCTTTAATCAAGTCCAGGTGAGAGAGAGGCCCTTTCTTGGGCATCTGGGCCATTTCTCAGTTAGGAATGGGGTCAGCACGAAGTCAAGGTTACTGTTCTCAGGTCAGCCAGTGATAGGAGGCAAGTTTCTCAAGTTTTTCTATTTTCTTCTAATGGGCAACTCACCTTGAATGCAACACATAAAAAGCCACTCTTTAAAAGCTTTTAGAACTCACTAGAAAACCAGTATAATATACCTTCTGGAGTCCAGGAACCCCATAGAATAGAGGGAGATCTCTCCAATGAGGGCGTAATCTGGCACCATCATGGCTACTGTCCGGAATAAGGCCTAGAAAGGAAATAATCAATGAGAACCTCAATACATACAGTGAATGTTGAAACACAGGGTGGGGGCATCTACAGAGGCAAAAGAAAGTATACGATCATTTGGGCCACTCCAGCGCCAATCAAGGAAAGGAGCACCAGAGACTAAGTTAATGCAGAGGGACTGTTCAATAGACAGATAACTTTCCCACTGACCCAGTTCAGGTACATGCTATTATAGCAGGTCTCTTGGTGGCTGTATGGAAGGCCCTATGTGTTGGTATCCCAATACCACCTTCTCCTATGTCAAAATGAGGACATCTCATTCAGCAGTTGGAGCTTCCCAGTGTTCAATACAGACATCAAAAGTCATTTAGCAATAAAAGACCATTATGCATCAAAAGAATCTCAAGTCAGACAGAACTTAATTTGACCAAATTCTACTTTGGCCCTCACTGGCCTATGCTGACCTAGAAGGGAGGAGCACTTGATGGATCTCCTGACTCTCTTCTGTTCCTAGAAAGAAAAGTGGTTTCATTGAATAAGGTTCCAGGGCACTAATCACCTCTAGCAGGTGAAGTATCATGTGCTGAAGTCAGTGGAGGTGGCTGTGTCTCTCCTATCATTTTTACCCAAGGAGACAGAGCAATACATTAATATAAAATTAGTTAAGAAGCAGGCCTGGAAGTCTGTCTCTTGTTACTCTTTTCATGCATCTGGGGGGGGGGGTTGTTCTTCCAATAGGAGGAGACCTACCTATCTTATGTCCTTTGTATTTTTGCCTACCAGGAAAGCAGCATGGTAAGGACAGCTAGGGCCATCTTCTATAGCCTGATTGGCCTTTCTTCTTATTTAAAGTCATCTTCTTCCTTCTATTAGCAGCAGGGCCAATGCCTATTGTTTGGGCTATAGCTCAGGGCAGATCTGCAATCGGCACTGAGGACAAATATGTACTCTTGGTTGGAAAGGCTGTTTGGTTTGGAAACTACTTAGGGTTAAGCAGCTTAGTAGTCAATGAGGAGCTCCTGGTGGTCCAGCCTAGGTTTGCCAGAGTTGTCTGTACTGAAGTTTGATGCTGTCTTGTAAGTAGATCTATTTCATGCTACAGTAACTTTTAAAAATTGAGCCAAGATCTAAAAATCAAATTTCATGTAATAATCCAAATATTCTGATTCTCCTGGAAAAATGAGAATATCTGATGATTCCTCCCTGGCAATCGTAGGCTGGAGCTAAGAAGTGGCTGCTGCTTCTAAATGGGGCATTCATGAGAAGCCCTACCATGCCTAGCTTGCTTTTCTGGTTCATACTGCCTGTCTTACCTACAGTGACCCTTCCTCTAATGTTCATTGTTTTCTATGCCATTAGTTATGATGCATGAATCCTTCCTTCTCCATGAGAACTTTCAAGGGAAGCAGCTGTGTTCTGGGGTCAAATACTAACTTTCTACCATTGGTACTCCACTATTACTTCTCACAGCTGAAAAAAATGCCACCTGATCCTACTTCTGGGCGTCTCTATGAGACCTTTGAATGGGACCCTCCAAAAATTTCTATGCTATCAAGTACACCAGGCAGTTATACATATACATGCTCACTTACCTTGAGGTTGTCTGGCAGCTCAGCCCTGCCAGCATACCCAGGGTTCATGGTAATGAAGACAGCACAGGTTGGGTTCAGAGAGAGCTCAGTACCTTCAAAGATGAATATCTTCAGGTTCTGGACAATGGCTTGTTGAATACTGAGTATCTGCTGGGCTACCACAGACAGCACTTCTACCTGTGGTAAGAAGCCCGGCTGGTGTGAGCTCTGCCAGGTTCCCCTTGCTTAGCAAATAAAGAATCCAATAACCTGAGAACCCAGACTTCCATGCTTAAAAGTAGGAACACAAGTTTTTGGCAAAAAAAAGGAAAATTGGGGTGTGTGTGTGTGTGTGTGTGTGTGTGTGTGTGTGTGTGTGTGTTAGTTTATAGTACACGGAATCTTTGTTTCAACAGTGAGGATAGTATTTGGCATATAAAAGGTATTCAGTATTTATGGGTTCAAATCAAATATTTATATTTATTGATCTCCAGACTCTGCTCAAATAGAATTAATCACTCGCCCTTTCGTGATGTGTCTTGTAGCACTATCATAGACTTCTATTATGTTCTATTTGTTTCATTTAGTTTTTATTCCTTTTACTAGATTGGAGCAATCTAGAGGGCAAGATCATTTCTTACTCATCTTTGTATCACAAACAGATGCAGAGTCACTAATATACAGTCGCTAATATAATTTTGGAATGAGTCAGAGAATGAATTAATGTGATTGGGAGGTGGAGATACACGTATAAAATAGGCATTCTGGGCCCTTGTGGATGTTTACATTTAGTTCATTAAGTACATACTCTATGTAGGGACTACAGAGGAGACATAGGCCCTGTCATTGAGGAGCTGAGAGGCCAGAAAAAGGCCATTACTTGTCTAACCCCTCTGCTCTGCAGCCTAGAAGCAGAATTACCTCAATCCGGTTGAACTCATCAAAACAGGCCCATGCTCCAGCCTGAGCCAGCCCCTTGAAGAACTTCCCCATGGCCTTGTAATCCAAACCATCTGAGCAGTTGAAGACCACACACTAGAAAGAGGGAAGATGTGGGCACCATTCAGGATGGATTCCAGCACCTTTGAATCACCCAGTACCACTGAACAGGGGTGGGGCTCTTCTCTTCTAATAATGAATAAACAGGGGCTCCATTCCTCCTGTTACACGAAATCATCCTGAAATTCATGCTCAGTTTCCCGAACGGAGGTCCCAAGATGGGTGGGAAGAGAAGGTAGCAATGAGTGACATTTCCCCACCTGCTTGGCCAAAGCTTTGGCCAGGTCTTTGGTGGTCTCTGTCTTGCCTGTTCCAGCTGGGCCCTCTGGAGCTCCCCCAAGGTTCAGCTTCAAAGCACCCATCAGTGTCCTAAGGGGAAGACAACAGGAACTCAGTGCCTGAGTCGTGAGATGCAGGAAAGAAACTGGCTTTTTGTTGATTTTGATTCATACACGTAATTTTAAAATTTTCTCTGATTATACAACCAATAAATATGTCATCATTGAAAAAATTCTGTTTTACATAACATTTTAAACTTAGAGCCCAACACAGTGCCTGATACAAGGGAAGCACCATAAAAATTTGTTTGAATGATCAAATAAATAAAGGAATACATGCATACATATATAAGTGGACCAAATAAACATGAAAATACTTATGAACTCTACATTCCAAAGATTACCAGTGCTAAAGGAATAGTAAAAATAAATATATTTCTCCCACCCAATTATGACCTCGAGTTCAGGAACCATATTTGATTCAATTCCATATCCTCAGCAAATAAATACAGTGCCTAGCATGTGGTAGGTACAAGATAAATCTTAGCAATTAATGGTGTTGGTGCATAACTGGTTCCATAGCCTCTCATATCATTTATAATTTTGGCTAACTCACTACCTGAAAGTCTTCTGAACATGTCTTCCCCAAATCTAATTAGATTTAGGGGCCCTTGATGTTATGTATGGTGCACAGGGAAGTTCAAGACGTAGTTGTTCATTAGGACTGTAACTAATAAAGTGTGTTGTTATTGGGGATTGTGACTAAGTGAGTAGATTATAGCTTCTTTTGCCACCAGGTGGGGTGGGGAATGGATAACTATGTGAGAAGATGGATATGTTCATTTCTTCCCCTCTACATTTTACTATATATGTAGACTTACTATTAATGTTGAATATCGTAAATATACTTAATACAATTTATTTTGAAAAAGAAATTATTAAATAATGACTAGAATAAATTGAATGAACAGAAATCATAGAACTAGGAAACAAGTGATTGAGGATATTGAAAGGAGAAAATACTCTTAGGTATTATTTTTTATAATATGAAATATAAAATCAAAGAAAATCTGAACATCACAGCATGGACAAATTCACAGAATGCTGGTTTCTAATGTAAGGACTTCCAAGAAAAGTGGCACAGTGCTTTGCTGAATGCAGAATGACCATCTCTCTTTGTGGGACTGGGGTCAGAGCTTAGAGACCTCTCTTCTGGTCTGTGTCCTTGGTCTGCCTTGCCTGTTTCTTGCCCATGGGGTCTTCAGGCACCATCTTGATTTCTGCCACTGTGGAAGTTTCTAAGTAAGTACCAAGTCATGCACCAGTGTTCTGTACTAAGACTCCTCCTAGGTTCTCATTACTACTAGCCTGATGGCCTAGCTTCCTTACCTATCTCTGAGACTACGGTGACTAAAGGCAAAATTCTGAAATGCAGAGGATAACAAGCCCAAAACACCCTAAACCTTCCTTCCCAGAGTCTTTTCCCTCTGGAGGTCTCTGTCCACCCCTTAAATGAGGGAGCCCCAGAGTTTACCTGTAGCAGCGGTCAGTGAGGGGCGTGATCACCAGCCTCGGGGAGTTTCCCAGATACTCGTACCCATACAAGGCTTCTGTGGTGATCATCTGCACCTGCACATCCTTCGCCTCCCAGTAGTAGCGCAGTTGTGAGATCCACTGGAAATCATTCAGGTCAGAGACCTTGTCCTCAGCTAACTTGGCCACCACATCCCGGGCTATAGGGACACAGATTTGGAAACACACACACAGAGCCGTCAGAATTCCCCATCTCCATGGACTCAACTAGAAAAGGATGTTATCAAGACTATCTCTCATTTAGTTTCAGGCCCTAGGATCCTCCTCCCATCCCAACCTGCAGGCAGGTATATTGCTCAGAAGTTTGACTTTGCTGAGCAGAGGATCTGCTGCACTGTCTTCTCTCAGAAAGCAAAGTAGAGGTCCTCCGAATGTGCGTCCTCCGAAGTCACACTGCCTTGGTCCATATTCTGGCTCCACCATGAACTTGACTATGTGACTTCAGGCAAGTTATTAAAGCCCTCTGTCCCTCAATTCCATAATGTGTAAAATGGGAAGAACACAATACCTACCTTTTATGATTATTATGAAAACTAATTATGAAATATAAATATATATAGATATATATAGAGAGAGACTATGTTCAGCATGTAAAAACCTTATATAAGTATATAATAAGTTATATAGTAACTGTTGTTATTCCCCAATTTTTGGAGGATTAGCCCAGAGGACTTCTTCTTGGCCATGTTCCAGGCTTCTAGGATCTCTTAGGACATGGTGATGAATCTATGGCACATGTGCTGCAGCGGGCTGTTTGTATCATTGAAAGCTCCAAAAGGTTCACCATCACTGTTTTAGAAGAATGCAGTCATCTGCTGGAGCTAGATAGCTGGAAAGGTGTCCCATGTGTCTGTAGTTATGTGTACTCTTCCCACCTGGCGGGGAGGAACCAGCTGAGAGACACAGTCCCAGATATTCTCCTTTCTCTCACAGGGATTGTGAGACTCATTTAATTTTCTCAGTGACAGGAGCCCTGAAGTTGAAGAGTGAATATAGGTTTGTAAAATCATTAATTATGTTTTAAGTAAGGGTTACTGAGATCTCCAAGCTAGTATGGTAGGCTTGAAATTAGGATCTTAGAAATGTACTTCTCCAAAGGCTTGCTTATGAAAGTCTACTGCCTCTCTGGGGGCAAAGTTTTCTTTATCACAATAAAATCCAAAGCCCTGTAGAGAAGAGTCCTTGAAGATTATTCTCACAGGTCTTCCTTTCTGAGGAATTTAGTTCCTTCTCAGGTTCTTCAGAGAACCAAGAAGGTCTGCATGAGAGTTCTTGGAGGAAAGTGAATCTCAAGAGAATGGGGTGGGATGGCCTTCATCATGCAGTGTGCACGTGTGTGTGTGCGTGTGTGTACCTGTGTGTGCATACTTGTGTTTGGGAACCCAACCAGTCTCCAGCCTGAGGTAGCCTAGGCAGTCACCACACCTGCCTGCATTTATCATCCCCACAGCTGGGTATGTGGCTGTGTAAGGGGCACATTCTCTTCCCTGTCTCCTATCTCTCTCTCCTCTCCTCTCTCCTCTCTCGGTCTCTGTCTGAACTTATGCTAGTCTATCTGGGTGAAATCAGACTGAAATGAGCATCAGCCCTGAGGGAATTAGATGCTGTGACATGCCAATAAGAAGCTGGGCATGTGAGCAAGAGAGATGCTGTTCCTAGGCAACCGGTCTAGTCCAGCCCTAGTTTCCTTGGTGATGATGGAGAGGGGTGGAGGTGGTTTGTTTTATATAATGATCTCACTTTTTCTCCTCCTCTTTCTCTTCCTCTTCCTTTTTAAAGGAAAAGCTGGAAGGAATCATCTCACACTACCCCCCCCCCCACCTTGCTGCCCATTTCCAGTTGCTTAGATTTGGAATATGACAGACAGAGAAGCCTCTGCTACTTACTGTGTCCCTCTCAGCAAGCTATTTACCTCTGTGAAATGTATATGAAAATAAGACAATGCAAACACTTAGCACAAAGCTTGGTACCTAGTGAGTACTCAAACATGTGAGCAATGACTGGGCCAAGGGAATAATTCACCAAGTTGGTGACTCTCAGAATGAATTTGTCCATCACAGTCTTAGCAAGAGGCTTGTCTGGAAGGTTCCTGGAAGGAGGGTTGGGAATGAGAGGGACCCTAAGATGGGGATTCACAGAGACCGTTAGCCTTGGCTTCTGTCCTTCTGCCCTGAAGTTCCTCTCAGGTGGAGAAATGCTCCCAGGTGGAGAAGGAAACAGAGGACCTGAGAGGTGAACCTGGCTGCCATTCCCAGACAGTCAGTCACTCCAGGGAAGTCTCCTGGCTCACCATGGACATCAATGACTGTGAGGGCTCCAAGAGTAAGTCGAGCTCCGCTGCTCAGCTTCCCGCGCACCAGCTCGACAATCTGTGTGATCTGCTTGTTGCTCTTTCTCAAAAAATCCTGGTGAGGGAACAGAGGAGACCACTGGTTGAATTGGGTTTTCTCCTGGCAATCCTTACTTCAGCGACTGACACCATTAAGCAGCCAGTGGCCCAAGTGAGGCTCCTCTCACCATCCTTTCCCTCACCTCCAGTCAGAGCCTCGAGATGAATCTTCCATGCATTGTTAATTGAAAGAGGCCAGATTTCGAAGGCTACACTCTATGATTTTACTTTTATAAAACTGTGGAAAATACAAAAAAATGGAGGCAGAAAAGTGATAGGCCACTGCCACAGGCTTGGCTTAGGGTACAGCTGACTACAAAGGGCATGAGAACATTTTTGTGGGGTGCAAAATGTTCAATATCGATCATGATGGTGGTGACATAAATACATACATTTGTCAAAACTGAAAACTGTGTGCTAAAATGCCTCAATTTTACTGTACATGAATTATGCAATGAACTGGAATAAACCAAGATAAAAACCCTTAAACTTTTTTTAGATTGAGAGACAAAGAAGTGTAAAAATAAAATGCAACATGTAATTCTGAATTGGACTGTGGGCCAGAAAAAAATAGATATTTAGTGGGGGCAACTGGCTAAATTTAAATTAATGAATTTAAAGGGTTAATAGATTATATAATATTTTATAAATGTTGATTTCCCAATTTGCATCATTTTGCTGTGGTTATGTAAAATGTTAACATTTGGGGAGTATGGATGAAGAGTGTAAGGGAATTCTTAGTATTATTTTTGCAAAATTCTTTGTAAGCCTGAAACAATTTCAAAATGAAGAGGTGAAAGATAAAAATGATTTTTTTAAAGGAAAAGAAATATACCATGTTAGATTCAAATTCCACCTTCCATACTTTCTAACTATGTGGTTCTGGGCAAATAGTTTTAAGTCCTTGAGTCTCAGTCTTCTGTTCTGTCAAATCTAGATAATTACAGCTATTTCTGTAAACTGTTTTGAAGATTATGTGAGATAAAGTATGTGAAGTATTTGGCACAATGTCTGATATGAATGAAACGTTGGTAATCAGCAGTAGTTGTTATTAGTAATAAAGTGCCTGGAACACAGCAAAAAAGAGAAGATTTTCAGTGCCTTCCCATTATCCTTGAGTTATCTCTAAAGCTCTTGGTTATGGTGTTGCTCTGCGTATCTCTTAACCATGCTATTCCAGTTATTCTATTTTTTTTTTTTTGGTACTGGGGATCGAACCCAGGACCTTGTGCTTGCAAGGCAGGAGTAGTGCTGCTGAGCTAAATCTCTCCCCCTTGCTTTTTTTTTTTGCATTCCAGTTATTCTAGATCAAAGTGCCCTCAGTTACTGGACTTCGCCAGGCTGTCTTTCCATTTCCCTTCCCTCCCCTCCCCTTCCCTCCCATGCTTTCCCTTTCCCCTTCCCTTCCTTTCCCTTCATGGTGCTGGGAATGGAACCTAGGGTCTTGTGCATGCTGGACAAACACAACCCCTGAGCTATACTTTCAGCTCACCATGTTTTCATTTTCAGAGTCTTGTACATTCCACTTCCTGTCTCTGAAACACTCTTCCTATTGTTCTCCAGTTGGCTAATCCCTACTTGTATTTTAAATCTCTTCTTAGACACTACTTTTCTGGGGAATCTTCCCTAATCCCAGTCCCACTGTCATGTCCCTCCAGGACCTTCACATTCCCTGAATCTCTGTTCTTTCCTTATCATAGTTATATATAAAAATTTTTTATCTCCCTCACTAGACTATAAGTCCATGTGAATAGGTACAATAATTTGCCTCCAATTTCCCTTGCCTAGTAGTACAGTAACCTCAACACAAAGCAGATGCCAAATAAATGTTTGTTAAATGAATAATGAATGAATATATTATCTTGTGCTAACATCTGATTTCTTTTTTTTTTTTTTTTTCATTGCCAGGTAGTACAGTAACCTCAACACAAAGCAGATGCCA